CCTGCTTGAGGCTTCCTACCTGCTCAAGGGCTGCTCCTCGGCTGAAATTTAATGAAACTCCTGTCACCCCTTGCCGCCTCGTGAGGAGTCTACCTAAGCAGGCTTGGGCGACCGCAAGCGCGGTGTAAACAAGTAAGCAGAGGAAAAACAGTACAGACAGAAGTGTAAGCTGTCGTAGTCGTTTTCGTGGTCGTAGGCATAGTGGTAATCGAGGTAGTAACCCTGGTGGTAATCGTGGTAGTGGTAGTCGTGGTGGTGGTGGCGGTGGCGGTTGTGGTGATTGTACGTCTTGATGACCGGCTCTTTCGGGTATACCTCCGAGCTGACTTCCGTTGCTCCAGGCCTGTATATCCTTTGTCACAGCGTCTCTGGCATCCAACACCTCAAGGCCAGTGCTAAAAGAGAAGTAAGAGACTCAAGCCAATTTCGATCTCACTGCTCCAACCCTCAGTTGAAAAGTCTTTCAAAACCTCCAGGGTATCAATTTTGTCTTTGGAAAGAGTGTGGTATCTGCATTCTTCGATAGATGTTTAGTGGCTTACAGCTCCTGCAAATGGCCTCAAGCATCGAGGAGCTCTGAATGTATTTAGGATTTCGGATTGCTCTGCAAATCAATCGGAAATAATGTGAGAATCTATTTGTCTTCCTGCCACATCTATATATTCATTCTCGTGGTTTTATCGTGTTTCACTTGACCAATTCCTGGGAGAACCATGAAGAACCCAAGCCCTCTCACAGGGTGCAACCGAAGCCCCTGGTGATCAATCTCAATCCAAGAGCTGGGGAAACAAGACAAAAACATCGTCTCCAAAGTGGGTCAAAGCGCCTGGCCTAAAAACCCATCACTGGCAAAGCGGGACAAACCCATCACTGGGCGCCTGGCACTGGTCGGGGTGGCCGGATCCTCCAGACTCTGACCAGGGTGAATCTGATCTCGGTAGAGAGCTGCGGCACGATCCGCCAAGCATCCAGCGGGCAAGCCACGCGTCACAAGCGTTTTGAGGTGCCAACCGTCGATGGCAACGAGGTCCTGAAGCAAGCAGAATTGCCCAAAGGAGTTCTTAGATCCTGGATGCACACTTTCTTCGGATAGTGGGCCCAGAATCTTGAACGACAATTGACAATAGCAATCCCTGTGGAAGAAACATGTCAAATGCCCTATCTTTTATCCTTGTGGGGATCATGTACAATATTTGGGCCATGAGGCCTTGCGCCAGGAGCTCTCAACCACTTTGATACCCCCCAATCCCTTCTGCTTCACCAGTCCTGTATCGGCTTCGTCACAACCTCATCCCCAGCATCCAGCACCTCGTCTTGGCAGGAAGAAGCGGCCGTGTTCTGAGCATACAAAGCATGAAGCTCTTCTTCTGAAAGCCTTGCGGTTGCTTCATCTACAAGAATCTACAAGTATACTGGGACACCAGAGCGGTGACAGCTCCAGAGCACATCTGGACATCCCTACTGGTGTCCATCCAAGCAGCAAATACAACAACTATATATATTACCTATATGTAATCATGCGGTGCACTGAGATATCCGAATTTCCAGCAGCCTCAAGTGTCAGGGAGCTGCTCCTGGCAATTGAGGCGGCAGGTGCACCAAGCAACTCGAGCAAGGACGGATACAACGTCAACACCCCAAATATATACAGAGCTCCAACTGCGAGACATAATCCCTGCAAAAGAGAAAACCTAGGCCCTGCAAGTATCTGGGACAGAATCTGTTGCAGGACAGCTTACAAGACCGTCCTAGATCCAATGCTGACAATGATGCCAGAGACCAACTCAGCCTTGGCAGTATATCAACTGAGAAAGATCAGAAAGCGGCAACTTGCAATTTGCACCTGTACGTATCTTGCCAAAAGCAGAGCAGAGCCTGCACTCTCTAAGCTGTATTTGAGGCCCTCTACCCCTATGCCATCAGCAGTTGTATCAACCTTGCAGTTTGACGAATTTGTACATGACATTGCTTGCATTCAGATGGAAGTAGAATCTGATCCATTCCATCATTCACCTGAGACACAACCATACAGGTGTGCCCTTAAATGCTCTTGCCTCGAATGAATCGACGGTTGCAGCTGATGAAGGAGTCGCCTCGCTACACCATCAAAGAACTTCCATTAGCCTGCGACGCATGTGTGTCCATATTTTGTCCTGTTCTTGACTGCAGTGGTTGATTCGATTTTGCCCACAATTGACATGATCCTTGACATGAACCTTTTTTTTGCAATGACCAGAATCTTCCGAGACGTTTTCAGCCCACGAGGCTCCAGCACAATGACGTTCGGAGGGGGAGACCGGGACATCCAGGTTCTGACCCCGAGAGATTGGACCTCAGCATGCAAGGGCCTTTTTTGTCCC